CTCGACAGCACATAACAACAACAACAACAACATCACTACGGAAGTAGGATTGTCCAACCTTCCTTCCGAGGAGTGGCTGGTGGGTTTGAACCGCCAGCCCTCTGGTTAGCAGTCAAGTGCTTTAGCCACTATGCTACCAGAGCTCCTTTTTTTTCTAACTAGATCACAGAAATACATTTTCTGCCTGTGTCCAAGTGTATGAATTGCAGTCATTTACATGAACTACTTGCCATTTATACCCAATTACCAGGCAGGCAGTAATGATTCTGTACATCACAAAATGTGCTAGATTAACCTAATTGTTAATTAGTTTAGTGGATGAAACACTAAACTCAGCTCATGCATATTCAGCCTTCATAGTTTGCTGCTCAGAAATATAGCCAAGAATTCACCATTACAAGAGAGAGAAAGAGAACAATGATTATATTATTCAAGGACATCTCTCATTTTCCCAAAGAAAAATTTCTAAAAGGTAAGCAGAGGCTTATAGGAAGAGGTTAGGAATGAAAGGAACAAGAAATCACTTTTAATGATTATTATAAGTGTTAGAAACACATAGTGTGCCATATCTGCACATAGTAAATACTCAAGAAATATCAGTTAAAGGATGAATTATTTATAGATTTATAGATGGTATAGAGTAAACCACAAGCCAACTGACAAGAAACTTAAAAATTAGAACCATACAACTGGATTCTTTCTAGAAAAGAATTGTTGTTGTTATTAGTTGCCATCAGGTCGCTCCAACTCATGGCAACTCCATGTGTGCATAGTAGAACTGCCCCGGGGGCTTTCAAGGTTGTGACCTTTTGGGAGCAGATCACCAGGCTTCTCTTGTAGGCACCTCTGGGGTGGTTTGAACCACCAAGCACTTAACCATTTACACTACCCAGGGACTCCTAGAAAAGACTTAAAAGGACATTTTTTAAAATTTTTAATTAAATGTTCTTATCAGAATTGTGTATTATTTCATTCCCAATTTATAAATTAATTTTTCTCTCTGAAACAGCATGTCACGAAAGGGAATGGAAGATTGGAAGAGCATGGAAGGTCTGATTGGGAAGTGCCATTCAGCTGAGCATCTGAACAACATTAGGAGTCCAGCTGTGTAAAGAGAGGGAGCTATAACCTAAGAAGTAAAGGCCTTGGGATGAGGAGCAGGATGAAATGCTTTTCCCTCACCCCAGCCATACTCCATACTAAACTGTAAATCCCTCAGGGCAAAGAGCAAGTTTTCATTTGATTTGGTTTTTGGTTGCAATTGAATCTCCTGCATTTCCTATGGGGCTGGTGTATAGTATATTCATTTATTGAATGAATAACAGAAAGGACACTGAAAACTCAAGTAGCCATTGCACTATGCAGTTTGAGCTGTTATAGTACAACTGAGTGATAAAATATATTTGTATTACCTGTTCAGTTGGGGATATTATTGACTTGGTATTTCAGTAACTCATTATATTTTACAGATATGGCCATTAATACATATCTTGTCCTATTTTAAGCTCAACTATATGAGCTGTTAATTTTCAGCTGACAGATCACTGACTTTTCATTTTCATGGTATATTATCTTTTGGGCTGTAGTCAGAAATTCATTACTTTATAGCTATAAAATCTTACGCTAATTGGAAACCATTAAATTGCTGGTCCCATCAATTTAAATACTCAGCATCTCTTTACTATAAAACGCATAATTATTGCTTGCTTCTGCAGATGGATGCTATTAAATCATTAATGCTTTCCTCCCTCAGACACCAAAGGAATAAACAAAATGTCTTATCAGTGGACTTTTCTGAGATACCAGCAGAAAATGTCATGGGTAGGTCATCAAGATGGAAGTACCTGGATCATGGTTCCTGCTGTGTATTCTCCTTCATCCAGAACCAGTTGGGAGCCGTACCAAAATGACAGTGCATAACAAAGGAGGACGAGGCACCAGAAGTACCCTGTAAAGAATCCCATCACGATCCCTTTCCTAATTCCCCATTTCTGGGCAAACACAAGATTTTTCTCATACCTGTGAAGAGAAAATATTTGTGTCTATTTCAGAAGCAACAGCTCAGTTTATAATGTTTAAAACGCAATGCAGGGTTTTTTTTTTTCAATGATTATAAAACCATCCCAAACACAGAGCAGTTTCAGGGATGAAAACTACTATCTAATCTCTTTGTGATTATTTAAAGCTTGTTTCAACCTGGCAATGGAATGCATTGAAGGGATGATACCTTACAAAGTCTCATAGCTAATTATTGTGTGGATGAGTAACATCAGGGTAAGCTTTATCCCAAGAGAAAAGAATTTTCAACACATTTTTTTGGGGGGAGATGTCTTTCATACTTTATGGTTTAGAACACACCATGCATTAGTAGAACATCAAACATAATGAAACATTATGAGAAGCTAACATTTTCCTGCTCTGAAAACATTCCTTTGAGAAAAATTCACTGTATTCCATAAAGGTAAAAGTCCTTGAAAATGAGAACTTGTACCACAGAGTAAAATCCTCCCAAATCTGTGTGGTGATTACTGCCCTTTCTACTGAAATCTAAGATATCAGCAAAGTTCATTTAGATAGAAGGCTTTATAGAGTACCTAATTTTTGCCCTTTAAAAACTGGAGATACAAACAAACAAACAAAAATCCTCAAATCATATCTAGTTTTTCCAGCAACTCTTCATCAACACAAATGTTTTGACATGAGAGATCTAGTATTATTTGTACTTGAATTGTTTCTTCAAGTCAACTGGCATGCTTTCTGTCAGAAAATGATGCAACTGCCTCCAAATAAACAAGTCAGGTGATTTGAGCGCTTTGCCCTAAGATTTAGAACTAGTGTTTGTACCAGTTCATCTACATAAACTCATCCATCTGCTCTGTGACCAAGGTGCTATGTTGCAAGATAACTGGTACCGGGTTCAGTCAACAGTCATGGGACACAACCAAAGCTACATGGAGATGTATCTCAAAGACTGTTTTAGCCACTGTTGAATCCTATCCAACAGAATGAAATGCTGCCCAGGCTTGAGCCATCACTGGGCCCAGTTGGAGCTTGAACTGTTGTGATCCACAGGGTTTCTTCACTGGCTGGTTTTTGGAAGTATATCACCAGGTTTTTCTTCCAAGTTCATCTTAGACTGGAAGTACTGCCGAAACCTCTTTGGTATCATAGCAACCTATAAGCCTCCACTGACAGATAGTGAGGATGTTTGAGGTACATTGGCTGGGAATTGAACTCAGATCTTCATGAAAGTTGAGAACTCTACCACTGAACTACAAATGGAACCTAAGGACTCACCAAAAAAAAAAAAAAAAAAAAACTCACTGCCATAGAGTTGGATCTGACTCATAGCGACCCCTCCTTGGGTTGCTGAGGCGGTATCTCTACAGAACTACCTAAATGTTGGTAGTTCAAACCCACTTGGTGCCATAAAATACCTGGTGATTTCCTCTGGTGAAGGCTCCAAAAAAAAAAAAAAAAACAA